CAACCACTTTCTATCACCACAGAAAGTTTCAAGTGATGTTACTATATTTACTCACATGTTTAAATTATGTATCAGTTAATATTTACATATATGCTGTGTTTTTTAAAATAGGAGGATAAATCAAAAGCAAATGCAAACAGGTAACCTCTAGGGGGAGGGAAGAAAAAGGTGTAGGAACACAGGAACTGAGACTTCTCTGAATATACTTTGTTTTATAATTTTGACCTTCTGGATTAATTCATTATTTTACATTGTTAAGAATATTCCTTAGGGAATACAGTCAGCAATGTTGTGGTAACTTTGTAAAAATATTGAATCACGATGACCTATAACCGAAATGAACACGGTATTGCATGTTAACTACACTGTGATTTAAAAAAATTAAAAATAAAGAAAATCCCTAAAAATCAAAACCAAAATGAAATATGAACTCTTATATTGAGCTGGTGGTATAACACATAGAAAGAACTATTTCAAGAACTTAAAACAGTAATTTTGATATATTCTTTGTGGAAGAAAAATAATTTTCAAGCTCTTTTTTAGTAATCATAGTTGGTGTAAATATTGGCATTGTTATTATTCTGCAGCTGTGGTGTTCACTGTGGGATAAAGCACATGAATAATTTTGTTGGTGCTGAAAATAAGATTTTCAGCATAGAAGAGAGGGTATGTAGATGTTAAATTAAGTAAAAATCCAGTTTGGATTTTAAATTGGAAATATCCATCATATAAGTTCATGATTTATTTTATCTTAAAAACATTTCCTAGCTTTTTTTGCTGAAAGAACCCAGAAACAATGACAACTCAGTAGCAGTTGCGGGTTCCCCTAGCACTCAGACTGTAGTCCCTAAATAGTATTTCACATAAAATGGTTGACTGTAGGTCTATGGAAGGAAATACATTAGGATGAACCTGGAAAATCATGTCATATCAAAATCAAGGAAGCTATCAAAACTAATGAGATTGTGACAAAGGATCAGCCAAACTGAATAAATTCCCATTAACCAAAGATAGGACAACTTAGGTATCAAGAATTATGACTGTAACAGACTGAAATACATCCAATCTGTTTAAGTATGAATTCATAATTGGGGGGGAAAACCTTCATTATCCTCCTTTGGAGGATGCTAGGGAACCAACTCATAAAACTGGTTAATAAAGGGAAAATATTAACGCCATTTTGCTTCTCTTGTACATTAGAGTAACCAATAGTTGAAGGTATTTCTTTAGGTATTTCAGGTTAAAAAAAAGAGAGAATACCACTATTTTGTAAGTCACATATAAATAATGACCATTGATGATGGCTCAAAAACCTTTATAGGAAAAACTAATGGGACGTAAACATGGTTAAATCCCAAAACCATTCTGTTAAGTCATAAAAACCTTTCATAAAAGAGTATATATACTGTATGAGCTTATTTATATGCCATTATGGAACAGGAAAAAAACCTGTACTGTGGGATGGGGTATGGTAGGCTGGTGGCTAGGACTGACTAACTGGGAAGGGGCATGAGCGAACTTCTAGGGGTTTTAGAAATGTTCTATATCTTGATAGTAGTTTCAGTAATACAGGTATATGCACTAGTAAAAACCTCATTAAATGATACACTAAAGATATGTAAGTGTATTTTAAGATATATATAAATTTTACATAAAAACAAAGATATACCTATAAACATACAGTTAGTTACATCTAATTAATGATGCAAATGCTGAAGTGCTTAAGGATAAAGTATACTAATGTCTACAATTCCCTCTGAAATGCATTAAGAAAAGAGACTGATTGATAGAGGAGGATGCATAGGTAAATATGTGATAAAGCAAATATAGTAAAACATCAACTACAGAATGTAGGTGATGGGTATGTACACTGTAAAATTCTTTGAATTTTTCTTTATGTTTGAAGAATCTAATAGGGAATTTCATGGATCAGGCTGACAACACCTTAAACCAATGCTCAATTTTAGTACTGAAAAAGTACTCTCAACCAAAAAAACGTTAGATCTAATCAATGCATTCAGTAAAATGGCAGAACACAAAAAATTAACACACAAAATTCAGTAGCACTTCCATGCACTAACAATGAATTTTCTGAAGAAGAAATAGATAATTGATCGCATTTATACTATCATCAAAAACAATAATAAGAATAAATTTAAGGTGAAAGAGTTCTACTCTGAAAACTAGAAGACACTGATGAAAGAAATCAAAGAAGACACAAATGCAAAAGTATCCCGTGTTCATGCATTGGAAGAAGCAATATAGCTAAAATGTCAACAATACCAAGAGCCAACTATAGATTCAATGAAATCCCTATCAAAATTTCAATGACATTTTTTCTGATGTAGAAAAAAAAACACTCCTAAAATTTATGTGAAACAATGCAAGACCCCAAATTGCCAAAGAAATCCCGAGAAAGGATAAAGCAGGAAGCACCACACTTCCTGGTTTTTAAGCTATATTATAAAGCCAAGTAGCGTTGTGACATAAAAACAGACAAAGAAACCGATGGAACAGAACCCAGAGCCCAGGAACAAACCCAAGAATATATGGTGAACTAATATTTGACAAGGAAGCCAAGAATACCCAATGGAGAAAGTCTTTTCAATAAGTGGTGCTGTGATAATGGGATATTCACATGTAAAAGAATGAATGTGGACTCTTATCTTACACACCACTTACAAAAATTAACTCAAATGGATTAAAGACTTGAATGTAAGATCTGAAACCATGAAACTCCTTGAGGAAAACATTACTAAGTCCCTTGACATGGGTCTTAGTAATGATTTTCATTACTAAGACTTTGTAAATCTCAACTTTGGTTGAGAGTACTTTTTCAGTACTAAAATTGAGCATTGGTTTAATATCAAAGAGTGATATTGATATACAGTCTTATGAAGGTTTCACATGAAAAAACAATGTGGTTATTACATTTACCCATACTATCAGGTCCCCACCCACACCCCAATGTAGTCACTATCCAAGTAATGATTTTTTATACGACACCTAAAACATAAACAGAATTAAAATTAACACATAGCACTACATCAAATTAAAAGCTTCTGCACAGCAAAAGCAACCATAACAAAATGAAACAACAACCTACAGAGTGAGAAATAATACTGCAAACCATTTATATGATAAGGGGTTAATACCCAAAATATATAAAAAGCTCATACAAATTAATAGCAAAAACCCAACACAATTAAAAAGACCTGAGTAGAGATGTCTTCAAGAAAGATGTACAAAAGGCCAATAGGTACATAAAAGGATGCTCAACATCACTGGTCATTTAGAGATATGCAAATTAAAACCACAGTAAGATATCATCTCATGTCTATTGGAATGGCCATCGTCATTCCAATTGTATGGATGTGGAATAAAAGGGATCCCTTGTACAGTGTTGGTGGGAATGTAAATTGGTACAGCCATGATGGAAAACCATATGGAAGATCCTCAAAAAATTAAAAATAGAACTGCTATATTGATCTAATTCCACCTCTGGGAATATATTCAAAAGAAAAGGAAACACTAAGTCAAAAAGATATCTGCACCCCTATGTTCACAGCACCAGTATCTATAATAGTCATGGAAATAACCTAAATGTTCATCAATGGATGAATGGATAAAAAAGTTGCAGTATGTATATCTACAATGGAATATTATCCAGCCATGAAAAAAGAAAATGAGAAAATCCTAACATTTCTGATAACATGGGTGGGTGGACTCTGAGGCATTATGTTAAGTGAAATAAGTCAGAGAAAGATATGATCTCACTTATATATGGAATCTAAAACAAAAACCAAACAAACCAAACTCATCAGAAAGGGATCAGATCTGTAGTTATCAGAGGGGAAGGGAAACTGGAGAGAGGTGGTCAAAAGGTATATAAACTTCCAGTTGTAAGATAACTAACTACTGGGAATATAATGAGGACTATAGCTAACACAGCTGTATGATATAAAGGAAAATTGTTAAAGAAGTAAATCCTGTGAGTTCTCATCACCAGAAGAAATTTATCTATGAGAATATGGATGTTAGCTGAAAGTACTGTGGTAATAATTTCACAACTTACGTGTGTCATACTATCATGCTTTATACCTTAAACTTACACAGTGATATATATATGTTTTTGAATTATTTCTCAATAACACTGAAGAAAAGATTTAAAAAATGACTGACAAAAACACCAGGCATGAATTGTCTAATTCCTTATTACCTCATATTAAATTAAGGTAATAAAAAATGGTGTAATCCTAAAAAAGAAAGGAAGCAAAACATCAAAAATTATGTGGTGTTTCCTTATGGAAGTACACACCACTACTATGAATTATTTTTGGGGAAAAAAACATACACAAACAATAACCCCAAATCTGTTCAATTATCTAGCTCTAATAGCAATTTTTAGGAAATAAAGGAACAGAGGAATATGTTAAGCAGTATACAATTAACAACTGAATTACAAAGAAAAAGAAAAAAGAGCAGGTAGAACCTATGGTTAAGAGAAACTTACAAGATGTATCTACTTGCTAAATATAGGGATTATTGATCTTTATTTGAACAATTATAAAAATATTTACTTATGATATCACTAAGGATATCTGAACACCAACTGAAAACATGACAATAGTAAAGCATTTTCAAATATACTTGGTTATAATGATGGCATATAGTTTTGTTTTTTTAAAGCATCCTTATCTTTTAGAAATATGCACTAAAATATGGATGAGATGACATGATGTATGAGATTTTCTATAAAATAACCTGGGTGGGATATATAAAAAACAAGACTGTTCATGAGCTGATCACTATTAAAGCTGGATAATGCACACATACTATGCTTTATACTTTTAATATGTTACAGATGTTCTAAAACAAAAGGTTAATTAAATAACATGTTTTAAAATTTGCATTTAATATTACTACTTGAAAAAAATAAAATTCCAGCACAAATGACTAACTCAATAAATTAAACATACAACAAATTTAAAATAACTTGCCATTCTGATTTTAAAGTGAAGTTTGTGTCCAGATATGTTTCCCTTCCAGGATCCCACTGACACATCATTTTCTTTCCTTCATTTATAATGCAACTCAAATTTTTAGGTTTTTCTGGAGGCACTAAAAGAGAAAAATTTGCAATTTTCAAAAGCTTTATATCCATAAATAACATGTATTTACTACCCAAAACATTTACAACCTAAATTAGATGCAAAAAGCAAGCCCAAGCAAAAGTATGATCATAATGAGATTGGTGACTAAAAATTAATTTCTTTTCTATTTAAACTCAAACTTCTTTTTAGGTATTTGTATATTAGCAATGCAAATACAGTTCTACTTCTAAGCTTATTAAGAAAAATTAGTATGTCAAAAAGTCACTAAGACAACAAGTTACTACATTTCATAAAGACCAACAGGCAACATTTAAAATGTTAATTCTACAGTCATGACAAAGTCTAAAGACAAAAAACTTACAGCCAGAAATTATTCGGATCCCATAAACATTCTGATCAATCTGTCCAAATGTACGAACATTGCAAGTGAGTTGAACATTTAATAAAGGCATATCTGTAAATGTGACACTAGATGCTGTTCTGTTTATGACAGTATATTGTTTGTTAGGAACAGCAGCATGGTTTGTTTTCCAGAAAATGTAATCAGCATTTACATGAAAATAATCCATACAATTTTCCTTTAGCACACAAATTGCCGTGAAGTTAGAACCAAGTTGTACAACTGCAGACTCAGGAGTGATACGACCACATGGATCTATAAGTTCACCTGAAGAAAAGGAAATATAATAGAAAATATTAAAATGGACTGAATTTTTCAGGTACAAAATGTTTATTTTGAATCAACATAGTCCCTCAATCTTCACTAAAGTATCTCTAAAGACACAGAAAAAAAAGAAACATAATGAAAATTAATATGCTCAGAGTTTAATGCATAAACTTGTAAAGAAACGCACAGATTTTTAAGGCAGATGGAGTTGGGTTAAAAAAATTACCTATGCAAGTTTCAGCCTTTTTCATAATATTCTAACTTTGCTTTAAAAGGAAACATAGACTGCCTGCAGTATGATTCACACTTGTTTCACTATGGATACTGTTTCTTGATTCAGACCCATGGTCTAAATTAACCCTCTAGAAACAGAGTGGTGGTCTCTGCTCCTCTGTGGTATTTAATGCTTAGGGACTAGGATGGGGGCACAAAGAGTATATATCACTCATATTAATATTTCAGAGAGCAGAGGAAACAGCAAGGGAGCAATGAAAAAGAAAGAATGTAACTAGATGATCAAATATATTAATTTTAACAGTAAGTGCACAGGATAAAATCTCATATTAAAAAGACTGCATTAAAAAAATAAAACAACTATATGCTTTAACTATAACCTACTCTGTGTTGATGACTTCTGAATCCTTATCTGTAGCTCTAAGTTCGTATGTTTTTCAATACCTTATAAAATGTATCCACTTGCACATACTTTAAAATGAACTTATCTAAAATTATATGCACCACAATCCCTTTCAAACTTTTTCTTATTTCTCTACCTCTGTAGCAGCACCATTCTCCTCCAGGAATCTAGGCCATATACCTGTAGTCACCTTCAACATCTCTAATTAGCCTTTTCCAACCTCTAGTTTAACAATACTGCACTGAGACTTGTTGGTTCTATATTCTTACTATGTGTATCAACCTCTTCTCACCAACCCTACTTTGTTTTGACAGCTGAAGCTCAGTCATCTTACTATACCAGTCTGACCTCCAAAGAGACTGATGCCAGACTACTGTTAAAAAAATGATTATGCCATTTTCCTATTCTAAATTATTTAATAGCTACTTATTATCATCCAGATAAAATTCCCAATTAAGTGGTATGAATTCTATTCTCTTTCTCCAGTTCCATAAACTTAAGGAAGCTTTCCCTAGTGAGTCTCTTTGGCCAGTGGGTTCTTGGATGGTTGCCCATACAGTTATAAGCTTCAGTTTTTTTGCTTGGAAAATGAAGTTAGTAATAGCTATCATGAATAGTGTTTTGAGATTAGAAATTACTTATGTAACTTGTCTCCAGAGACAAGTAATCTAGTCATACTGACAGGGTCTGAAGGTTCCCTTATGGGTGACTGGTTTTCGTAGTTAAAGTAAAAGGCATAAAAATCACAGAATTATGAAACAGAAGAGCCTTGGTGATCATTTACTTCAACTCTTTATAAAGAAAAATGAGATACTTTCACAGAATCAACCTCAATTATCAGCCAGACTCTTCCAATTCCCAACTTGGTCCCAAGCCAGGCATCAAAAAGGATAAAACTACCTTTAAAAACTGAACATTTTCTTATTCTGTGTTTTTCAAAGTCATAGGGAAGAACAGTTTTTACAGTCAAATTGTACTTCCAAATACAATTCTGGGTCCTCTTATAATGCCTGTAAGGCCCAGAGTTAGAATGTGTATTTCCTTATTTTAAAACTTATAATGTAGTCAACAGTTTACAAGACCTTGCCATATATGTCTACTTTAAATCCCAGTGCATGTATTCCTCTAACTTTCCAATTGTATGAAATTTCATCTTGTGGGGTACTGTTAAGTTACTCTGTGATACTGAGCCAGTCCTTACAACTCCACAGACCTCACTTTATTCTTTGGTAACATCACTCCTATTTTACTTTCTCCAAAGTACGTATAGGGAACAGTAAATATGAAATACACTTTAGAGTACTAAACAACATAAGATACAACCAGAGACTCAGTATTAATAATTTTCAATTACAAAGAATATAAGAAATACTAGAAATGGGTACATGTTCCAGTTTTCAATGTGATGGGCAAATGTTCAAGTTTTCAAAGTGAAACACAGGCTCATTAAAACCATCCCATGCCAAATGAATCCCCTTTTATTGGGCTACCAGGCTATTTGAGATATTAAATTATAGAAAGAAAGTATTTTAATTTAATAAAAAGTATTTGAAAAAGTTAGTTGGGGTATTCATACAGACAAGATGAAGAAATGTGGATTAGAATACAACAGAGTCTAGAATGAACATGATGAAATTGTTGGTATTTGGCTGTTCTTAATCTACAAGAACAGAAATTTCATAGGTTCAAACTAATAGATTTTTAACTTATTGCTCATATATAAAAATCATGAACCAAAATTGTCAATGAGAAGGTCTTGAGTAGAGTATGCTAAGGTGCCTGCTTGCAGTTCTTTGAGAAGACTGTATTTTCCAAAGACAGTCACACATGCTCTTTATAAAATGTGACTGTACTCCTTTCACAAAGAAATGTGGTCCGTACTTCCCTCCCACCCTCAGATCTGTGGATGTTTACGTCTGCCACAGCCACAGAGTATGCTATGTGACTTCTAAGACTAGGTAATTAACTTCTGACAGCTCTCTTTTTGTCTTGGAGTATTTGCCCATGGAAGCAGCCACATGATGTAAGGACACTAAGGCCACACAGAAAGACCATGGTGATGTTCTGGTCGACGGCCCCAGCAAAACCCTCAGCCTATAGCCAGCATCAACACCAGACATGTAAGGGAAGAGGACTTCAGATAATTCCAGCCCCCAGTCTCTATTTCAGCTGTGGGCTCAATATTATCAAAGATGACCCAGTCTGGCTGTCCCAGTCTCTATTCCTGACCCACATAAACCACGAGAAGTAACAATTACTGTCATTTTAAGCTATGAAGTTTTGGAGTAATCTGTGAGGTAGCAATAGATAATGTAGGCCTGTGTTTTCAACATCTTTATCAACAACTTGGAAGAAAACAGAGAGAAAGATTTGCACATACTTATCAAATTAGCAAAGGACAAGATGGGGAAGCATTGCCAACACTCTGGGAAATAATGTTAGGATTTAAAATTATGTTGCAAGATTAGGCTGATAGGTTAATAAAAATAAAATGAACATTGCAAGAGCACAAAGTATCTCTTATTTAGGTTGGTATGAAATAAGGTAGTATTAAGGGAGAAATGGTTTAAAAGTAACTTATGTGCAATCGATCAGAATTTTCACTGACTGATATCTTAACAAGAAACTATGGTGTAACCATAATGCTGTTCATGTAATTGTAGATTAATGATATCAAAAAAAAAAAAGAAACTATGGTGTATCTCTTAGCTGGCAAAAACTATGTTGCTTTAATAATGATGTTCAGATCAAATTTAATAATAAAGTCATTATACTCAGACTATGTCTAGTTTTGGTACCTTATATATATATAACTTTGAATATATATGTTCTTAGGTACATTTTATTCAAACTTAACAATAAATATATACTTACTATACTTTTTATAATGCTTACTGTGGGCCAGGCCCTGTCCAAAGGCCCTTTGTATATTAACTCATTTAACCCTCACAACAAGTCAAGGAAGAAGAGACCATTATTATATACATCTTCTACATTAGGAAACTGAGGCATTAATTAAGTCCTAAATCTGGTAAATGAAAGTGTAATATATTATATAAAATATAGTATTATATTTTAAATGTGATACAGGAAACCAGAAAAGATACAGGAGGGTAATCAGGATGCACAGAGTTGGAAGCCAAGTCCTATAAAGAATGATTAGGATGATTGTGTAAATTTAGTTTAGGAAAAAGAAGACTTAGAGACCCATGAAAACAGTTCTTTTAATTCTGGAAGAGTTGAACAGTAGGAAGAGAAAGTGGGCCTCCTCTAGAACTAGGATTAATGATAAGAAGTTGCAAGGAAAAGTTGGGTTCCAGAATAAGGGAAGACTTTCTAAATAGTAAGATTTTCAACACATGCTTCATGTCACTTTAAGTGTTCAAAAAGAAACTGTATCCCTGGTTTTGCAGAGGAGCTGATCTGGAGCAGTGCTTCTCAAACTACAATAAAGGATCCATTTGGGTTTTTTCCCCCTACATTTTGCAGATTTATACTTTTCTTCTTTAACATGTTTGATGAGACAAGTTTACTGATCATATGACTGAATGTCATGGCTGTGTCAAATTGTTAAAGGAGTTTCTAAACAATTATTCTTACTTTCTATACTTATCTCACTGTGGACCAGTAACCATCCAAGAATCAGTAGTAACCTCAAAGAAGCAACAGGCTATGGACCAGTTTAAGAAGTAATGGTCAATCTCTTTATTCTGCTATCATAATCACATTGCTGCTCAGAAAACCTTTGGCCATTAAGGAGTGAAGTGCTAAAAATTAACAGATTTTCTCCCTATTTCTTTACTAAAAAACAAAACCACATATTTTTTCTTCTCCACATTAAAGTTATTAAAGTATAGTGAAACGGCATTTAGGATTTCTAAGTGACTAAGTTTTTCAAGTCAAATTATATAAATTGTAATTTACTAAGATTATTTTTACTTAAATCATTTTTAGGACATAATCTCTCAATAATGATCCTAGAAAAAATAAGTATACAAACAAAATTATATAATCACTAAATACATAAAAATATATAAGCCTAATTTGTGGAGTTGGGACATTGGATATTTCAAGAACCTTACCTATAGACTCAGTGGTGAGGAAAATAAACAGTGCTTGCATTATCCAAGTTTGCAATGCCAACATCTTGCATAGGTATTTCTGTAAAAGACACACGCAATATTACTTTTAATATTTCTTCTCTTATTATACGTAACAAATTAATACACAATCTCTAAAACTCTTCTGTTTCCATTGTATATCTGCTTTCTAAAAGGTGGTAAAATTTATGAGAATGCAGAAAATAAGTTTAAGTCAGGAAAATTTTTCTTTATTCCCACTTAAGATACGGCAATATAAATTATTGCTTGAAAACACAATTTATATCTTAAAGTTAATTAAAACAGCAATCTAGTTTTTTTTATTACGTGAAGTCTTACCCTATAGTAAATACCCTGAGAACTTCAAAGACAAATTTCTGCCTGGAAAAACTCACATTACCCAACCTCAAGAGGTATTTAACAAACAGGAAAAATGTTTATAGTTCACAGCATGACCCAAAATATCCAGGTATATGAAAAATACCTGTAAATCCCTAAAAAATTCCAACATGTAGTAGAAAAAACAGGCTAGATGAGTTGAACAGGCAATTCACAGAAAAGGAAATACAAGTTAACTCAAACATATGAAATGGTATTTCAACCTCACTAATAATGGAAAGCAAATTAAAACTACCTAGATAGGAATCCAAGATGATACACACACTCTGGAAAACAGCTGGCAGTTCTTTACAAGTAAAAGCACAACACAGGACTTGGCATTTCTACTAATGTAGCCAAGAGAAATAAAAATATATATTTCTCCATGAAGACTTATACCCAAATGTGCATTACCAGCATTATTCATAATAGTTCCAAACTGGAAACAATCCAAATGTCCATCAACTGCTGAATGGGTAAACATATCCAAACAATGGAAATTCCATACAATAAACTACTCAGCAATACAAGGGAACAAACTACTGATAGATCTAATACCATGACTGAATCTCAAAAATATGCTGAATGAAAGAGGCCAAACACAACAGACTATGTATTGTGCAATTCTATTTTTAGGAAATTCCACAAATGGTAAAACTAGGGTGACAGAAAACATCAGTGGTCGGCTGAGCTGGGAAAGTGCAATAAATGAAAAGGAGCACAAAGTAACTTTCTGAAGTAAAAGAAATGTTCTGACTTGAATGTGGTGGTGACAAGACTGTCAAAACTTACTGTACTGGGATTAAAGATGGTGGCATGAGAGGTGAGACAGACACCTTCTCCTAAAACCACATATAATATGAAAATATAACTAATACAACTAATCCTGAAAGAGCAACAGGAAAGAAGGCTGCGCCAGACTGCACACACCTAGAGAAAAGAGCAGACCTCACAGAACAGGGTAATGTACCAAAGTTGTGACGCAGGGGGTCCAAGCCCTTCCCCCACCCCAGCTGCCCCAGCAGGAGGAAGAGAAACAGAGCCAGGAGGGAGTGGAGGCCTGGGACTGATGTCCACCTAGCCCTGAAGATCTGCTCTGGGAGCATGAACCTACATTCCATGGTGCTCTGTGGGATTGGAAAGCTAAGAAAGGCGGAGTACCTGGAGAGACAGAGATTCCAGCTGCTGTGGAAAACAGGGATTCATATCTGGCTGATCTGGGTGGTACTTCAAAAAGGTACTTTGAAGAGAGTCTGAGAGTCCTAAAAGTGAGATGGCTGCTAAAGGGGTAAGGATTGCAGAGTTTACTGCTCAGGAGAAAGGAGAGGTAGACAAAATTGTCCGGGTGCACTCTGTCCAGCAGGTTTGGAGCTCCAAATGATCTTCAGACGCTCCATCCCCCTGGCTGGCTATGGAGCACCAAGGCCCCTCACCAAGACAAACAGCCTGATGTGTCTTGCTGGCTAGCCTGCATCTGCCTCAGGCTCCCAAACCAGCAACACCTGCCCTGACATCAGGCCAGCCAGAGGGAAGCCCCGCCTATGGCAGCTACAAACACAAAGCATAGAGGCCTACACCCATGTGTTCGGCACACTGTTTCTGGCAGTGAAGACAGGCATAGCAGCGGGGAAGCAGGAAACAGCTCTTTCCCCCCACCGAGCACCAACAGCGCACCCCTGCGACCCCCGACATTGCTCCAGGGACTGAGCAACTCCAGAGAGTGAAGCTTCTGGGCGCTAGAGGGCACCACAGACAAATGATGAAACATCAAAGGAATCTGGTTCAAAGCAAAATTATGAACACACCTGAGAAAGATTCAAATGAAACTGACTTCACAAATCTTTCTGAAAGAGATTTCAAAATAAAAATCATTAACATGCTCATGGAGGTACAGAAAAATATATAAGAACTCAGGAACAAATTTAGGACAGAGATCCAATCACTGAAGAACACAATGGAGGGTATTAAAAGCAGATTAGATACGGTGGAGGAGACATAAATGAAATAGAAATTAAGGAAGAGGAGTACAAAGAAGCTGAGGCACAGAGAGAAAAAAGGATCTCTAAGAATAAAAGAATACTGAGAGAACTGTGTGACCAATCCAAACGGAACAATATTCGTACTATAGGAGTAACAGAAGAAAAAAAAAGAGAAAAAAAGGGATAGAAAATGTCTTTGAGGAGGTAATTGCTGAAAACTTCCCGAATCTGGGGAAGGAGATAGTCTCTCAGACTATGGAGGTGCACAGATCTCCCAACACAAGGGACTCAAGGAAGACAACAGCAAGACATATAATTATTAAAATGGCAAAGATTAAGGTTAAGGACAGACTATTAAAAGCAGCCATAGAGAAAAATAAGATGACATCCAAAGGAAAACCCATCAGGCTATCATCAGACTTCTCAGCAGAAATCTTACAGGCCAGAAGAAAATGGCATGACATATTTAATGCAACGAAGCAGAAGGGCCTCAAACCAAGAATACTTTATCCAGCAAGATAATCATTTAAATTTGAAGGAGGGATTAAACAATTTCCAGATAAGCAAAAGCTGAGAGAATTTACCCACTACAAACTGTTTCTACAGTGTATTTTGGAGGGACTGCTATAGACGGAAAAATGTGGTCCGTACTTCCCTCCCACCCTCAGATCTGTGGATGTTTACGTCTGCCACAGCCACAGAGTATGCTATGTGACTTCTAAGACTAGGTAATTAACTTCTGACAGCTCTCTTTTTGTCTTGGAGTATTTGCCCATGGAAGCAGCCACATGATGTAAGGACACTAAGGCCACACAGAAAGACCATGGTGATGTTCTGGTCGACGGCCCCAGCAAAACCCTCAGCCTATAGCCAGCATCAACACCAGACATGTAAGGGAAGAGGACTTCAGATAATTCCAGCCCCCAGTCTCTATTTCAGCTGTGGGCTCAATATTATCAAAGATGACCCAGTCTGGCTGTCCCAGTCTCTATTCCTGACCCACATAAACCACGAGAAGTAACAATTACTGTCATTTTAAGCTATGAAGTTTTGGAGTAATCTGTGAGGTAGCAATAGATAATGTAGGCCTGTGTTTTCAACATCTTTATCAACAACTTGGAAGAAAACAGAGAGAAAGATTTGTACATACTTATCAAATTAGCAAAGGACAAGATGGGGAAGCATTGCCAACACTCTGGGAAATAATGTTAGGATTTAAAATTATGTTGCAAGATTAGGCTGATAGGTTAATAAAAATAAAATGAACATTGCAAGAGCACAAAGTATCTCTTATTTAGGTTGGTATGAAATAAGGTAGTATTAAGGGAGAAATGGTTTAAAAGTAACTTATGTGCAATCGATCAGAATTTTCACTGACTGATATCTTAACAAGAAACTATGGTGTAACCATAATGCTGTTCATGTAATTGTAGATTAATGATATCAAAAAAAAAAAAGAAACTATGGTGTATCTCTTAGCTGGCAAAAACTATGTTGCTTTAATAATGATGTTCAGATCAAATTTAATAATAAAGTCATTATACTCAGACTATGTCTAGTTTTGGTACCTTATATATATATAACTTTGAATATATATGTTCTTAGGTACATTTTATTCAAACTTAACAATAAATATATACTTACTATACTTTTTATAATGCTTACTGTGGGCCAGGCCCTGTCCAAAGGCCCTTTGTATATTAACTCATTTAACCCTCACAACAAGTCAAGGAAGAAGAGACCATTATTATATACATCTTCTACATTAGGAAACTGAGGCATTAATTAAGTCCTAAATCTGGTAAATGAAAGTGTAATATATTATATAAAATATAGTATTATATTTTAAATGTGATACAGGAAACCAGAAAAGATACAGGAGGGTAATCAGGATGCACAGAGTTGGAAGCCAAGTCCTATAAAGAATGATTAGGATGATTGTGTAAATTTAGTTTAGGAAAAAGAAGACTTAGAGACCCATGAAAACAGTTCTTTTAATTCTGGAAGAGTTGAACAGTAGGAAGAGAAAGTGGGCCTCCTCTAGAACTAGGATTAATGATAAGAAGTTGCAAGGAAAAGTTGGGTTCCAGAATAAGGGAAGACTTTCTAAATAGTAAGATTTTCAACACATGCTTCATGTCACTTTAAGTGTTCAAAAAGAAACTGTATCCCTGGTTTTGCAGAGGAGCTGATCTGGAGCAGTGCTTCTCAAACTACAATAAAGGATCCATTTGGGTTTTTTCCCCCTACATTTTGCAGATTTATACTTTTCTTCTTTAACATGTTTGATGAGACAAGTTTACTGATCATATGACTGAATGTCATGGCTGTGTCAAATTGTTAAAGGAGTTTCTAAACAATTATTCTTACTTTCTATACTTATCTCACTGTGGACCAGTAACCATCCAAGAATCAGTAGTAACCTCAAAGAAGCAACAGGCTATGGACCAGTTTAAGAAGTAATGGTCAATCTCTTTATTCTGCTATCATAATCACATTGCTGCTCAGAAAACCTTTGGCCATTAAGGAGTGAAGTGCTAAAAATTAACAGATTTTCTCCCTATTTCTTTACTAAAAAACAAAACCACATATTTTTTCTTCTCCACATTAAAGTTATTAAAGTATAGTGAAACGGCATTTAGGATTTCTAAGTGACTAAGTTTTTCAAGTCAAATTATATAAATTGTAATTTACTAAGATTATTTTTACTTAAATCATTTTTAGGACATAATCTCTCAATAATGATCCTAGAAAAAATAAGTATACAAACAAAATTATATAATCACTAAATACATAAAAATATATAAGCCTAATTTGTGGAGTTGGGACATTGGATATTTCAAGAACCTTACCTATAGACTCAGTGGTGAGGAAAATAAACAGTGCTTGCATTATCCAAGTTTGCAATGCCAACATCTTGCATAGGTATTTCTGTAAAAGACACACGCAATATTACTTTTAATATTTCTTCTCTTATTATACGTAACAAATTAATACACAATCTCTAAAACTCTTCTGTTTCCATTGTATATCTGCTTTCTAAAAGGTGGTAAAATTTATGAGAATGCAGAAAATAAGTTTAAGTCAGGAAAATTTTTCTTTATTCCCACTTAAGATACGGCAATATAAATTATTGCTTGAAAACACAATTTATATCTTAAAGTTAATTAAAACAGCAATCTAGTTTTTTTTATTACGTGAAGTCTTACCCTATAGTAAATACCCTGAGAACTTCAAAGACAAATTTCTGCCTGGAAAAACTCACATTACCCAACCTCAAGAGGTATTTAACAAACAGGAAAAATGTTTATAGTTCACAGCATGACCCAAAATATCCAGGTATATGAAAAATACCTGTAAATCCCTAAAAAATTCCAACATGTAGTAGAAAAAACAGGCTAGATGAGTTGAACAGGCAATTCACAGAAAAGGAAATACAAGTTAACTCAAACATATGAAATGGTATTTCAACCTCACTAATAATGGAAAGCAAATTAAAACTACCTAGATAGGAATCCAAGATGATACACACACTCTGGAAAACAGCTGGCAGTTCTTTACAAGTAAAAGCACAACACAGGACTTGGCATTTCTACTAATGTAGCCAAGAGAAATAAAAATATATATTTCTCCATGAAGACTTATACCCAAATGTGCATTACCAGCATTATTCATAATAGTTCCAAACTGGAAACAATCCAAATGTCCATCAACTGCTGAATGGGTAAACATATCCAAACAATGGAAATTCCATACAATAAACTACTCAGCAATACAAGGGAACAAACTACTGATAGATCTAATACCATGACTGAATCTCAAAAATATGCTGAATGAAAGAGGCCAAACACAACAGACTATGTATTGTGCAATTCTATTTTTAGGAAATTCCACAAATGGTAAAACTAGGGTGACAGAAAACATCAGTGGTCGGCTGAGCTGGGAAAGTGCAATAAATGAAAAGGAGCACAAAGTAACTTTCTGAAGTAAAAGAAATGTTCTGACTTGAATGTGGTGGTGACAAGACTGTCAAAACTTACTGTACTGGGATTAAAGATGGTGGCATGAGAGGTGAGACAGACACCTTCTCCTAAAACCACATATAATATGAAAATATAACTAATACAACTAATCCTGAAAGAGCAACAGGAAAGAAGGCTGCGCCAGACTGCACACACCTAGAGAAAAGAGCAGACCTCACAGAACAGGGTAATGTACCAAAGTTGTGACGCAGGGGGTCCAAGCCCTTCCCCCACCCCAGCTGCCCCAGCAGGAGGAAGAGAAACAGAGCCAGGAGGGAGTGGAGGCCTGGGACTGATGTCCACCTAGCCCTGAAGATCTGCTCTGGGAGCATGAACCTACATTCCATGGTGCTCTGTGGGATTGGAAAGCTAAGAAAGGCGGAGTACCTGGAGAGACAGAGATTCCAGCTGCTGTGGAAAACAGGGATTCATATCTGGCTGATCTGGGTGGTACTTCAAAAAGGTACTTTGAAGAGAGTCTGAGAGTCCTAAAAGTGAGATGGCTGCTAAAGGGGTAAGGATTGCAGAGTTTACTGCTCAGGAGAAAGGAGAGGTAGACAAAATTGTCCGGGTGCACTCTGTCCAGCAGGTTTGGAGCTCCAAATGATCTTCAGACGCTCCATCCCCCTGGCTGGCTATGGAGCACCAAGGCCCCTCACCAAGACAAACAGCCTGATGTGTCTTGCTGGCTAGCCTGCATCTGCCTCAGGCTCCCAAACCAGCAACACCTGCCCTGACATCAGGCCAGCCAGAGGGAAGCCCCGCCTATGGCAGCTACAAACACAAAGCATAGAGGCCTACACCCATGTGTTCGGCACACTGTTTCTGGCAGTGAAGACAGGCATAGCAGCGGGGAAGCAGGAAACAGCTCTTTCCCCCCACCGAGCACCAACAGCGCACCCCTGCGACCCCCGACATTGCTCCAGGGACTGAGCAACTCCAGAGAGTGAAGCTTCTGGGCGCTAGAGGGCACCACAGACAAATGATGAAACATCAAAGGAATCTGGTTCAAAGCAAAATTATGAACACACCTGAGAAAGATTCAAATGAAACTGACTTCACAAATCTTTCTGAAAGAGATTTCAAAATAAAAATCATTAACATGCTCATGGAGGTACAGAAAAATATATAAGAACTCAGGAACAAATTTAGGACAGAGATCCAATCACTGAAGAACACAATGGAGGGTATTAAAAGCAGATTAGATACGGTGGAGGAGACATAAATGAAATAGAAATTAAGGAAGAGGAGTACAAAGAAGCTGAGGCACAGAGAGAAAAAAGGATCTCTAAGAATAAAAGAATACTGAGAGAACTGTGTGACCAATCCAAACGGAACAATATTCGTACTATAGGAGTAACAGAAGAAAAAAAAAGAGAAAAAAAGGGATAGAAAATGTCTTTGAGGAGGTAATTGCTGAAAACTTCCCGAATCTGGGGAAGGAGATAGTCTCTCAGACTATGGAGGTGCACAGATCTCCCAACACAAGGGACTCAAGGAAGACAACAGCAAGACATATAATTATTAAAATGGCAAAGATTAAGGTTAAGGACAGACTATTAAAAGCAGCCATAGAGAAAAATAAGATGACATCCAAAGGAAAACCCATCAGGCTATCATCAGACTTCTCAGCAGAAATCTTACAGGCCAGAAGAAAATGGCATGACATATTTAATGCAACGAAGCAGAAGGGCCTCAAACCAAGAATACTTTATCCAGCAAGATAATCATTTAAATTTGAAGGAGGGATTAAACAATTTCCAGATAAGCAAAAGCTGAGAGAATTTACCCACTACAAACTGTTTCTACAGTGTATTTTGGAGGGACTGCTATAGACGGAAGTGTTCCTAAGGTTAAAGAGCTGTCACCAGAGGTAATAAAAAGGGATAGACAAAGTACAGAATATGGTACCTAATATATAAAGAATGGAGGAGGAAGGAGGGAAAAAAAAAAGAACCTTTAGATTGTGTGTGTAATAGCATACTAAGTGAGTTAAGTTAGACTCTTAGATAGAAAGGAAGTTAGCCCTCAACCCTTGGTAATGAAAAACCTAAAGCCTGCAATGGCAATTAAGTACATACCTGTTGATAATTGCCCTAAATGTAAATAGTCTGAATGCACCAATCAAAAGACATAGAGTCACTGAATGGATAAAAAAACAAGACCCATCTATATACTGCCTACAAAAGACTCACTTCAAACCCAAAGGCGTATACAGACTAAAAGTGAAGGGTGGGAAAAAGATGTTTCATGTAACTAATAGGGAGAAAAAAGCAGGTGTTGCAGTACTTGTATCAGACAAAATAGACTTCAAAACAAAGAAAGTCACAAGAGACAAAGAAGGACATTACATAATCATAAAGGAGTCAATCCAACAAGAGGATATAACCATTATAAATATCTATACACCCAAAACAGGAGCACCTACATATGTGAAACAATTACTAACAGAATTAAAAGGGGAAATAGAATGTAATGCATTCATTCTAGAAGACTTCAACACTCCACTCACTCTAAAGGAGAAATCAACCAGACAGAAAATAAGTAAGGAGACAGAGGCACTGAACAACACATTAGAGCCCATGAACCTAACAGACATCTACAGAACTCTACACCCAAAGACAGCAAGATACACATCCTTCTCAAGTATACATGGAACATTTTCCAGAATAGACCACATACTAGGCCACAAAGAGCCCCAGTAAATTCAGAACGATTGAAATTGTACCAACCAACTTCTCAAATCACAAGGGTATGTACACTAGAAATAAATTGTACAAAGAAAACAAAAAGGCTCACAAACACATAGAGGCTTAAAACATGGTCCTAAATAATCAATGGATCAATGACCAAATTAAAACACAGACCAAGTAATATATGAAGACAAATGAAAACAACAGCACAACACCCCAACTTCTATGGGACACAGCGAAGGCAGTTCTAAGAGGGAAGTATATAGCAATTCAGGCCTATTTAAAGAAGGAAGAGCAATCCCAAATGAATTATGTAAATTCACTAATTGAAACTGGAAAAAAAAGAACAAATGAAGCCTAAAGACAGCAGAAGGAGGGACATAATAAAGATGAGAGAAGAAATAAATAAAATTGAGAATAAAACAATAGAAAAAAAATCAATGAAACCAAGAGCTCATTCTTTGAGAAAATAAACAAAATAGATAAACCCCTAGCCAGACTTGTTAAAAGAAAAAGATAACCTACACACATAAACAGATTCAGAAATGGGAAAGGAAAAATCACTACAGACACCACAGAAATAAAAAGTATTAGAGAATAGTATGAAAATCTATATGCTAACTGGATAATGTAGAAGAAATGGACAACTTTCTAGAACAACACAACTTTCCAACACTGACCCAGGAAGAAACAGAAAATCTAAATAGACCAAATAACAGCAATGAAATTGAATCGGTAATGAAACAACTACCCAAGAACAAAACCCCTGTACCATATGGATTCACCGCTAAATTTTATCAAACATTTACAGAAGACATAATACCCATTCTCCTTAAAGTTTTCCAAAAAATAGAAGAGGAGGGAAATCCAAACCCATTCTATGAAGCCAGCATCACTCTAATACCCAAACCAGGCAAAGACACCACAAAAAAAGAAAACTACAGACCAATATCCCTGATGAACATAGATGCAAAAATACTCAACGAAATATTAGCAAACTGAGTTCAAAAATATATCAGAAGGATCACACACCATGATCAAGTGGGATTAATCCCAGGGATGCAAGGATGTTACAACATTCAAAAATCCATCAACTTCATCCACCACATCAACAAAAAGGACAAAAGCCACATAACCATTTCCATAGATGCTGAAAAAGCATCTGACAAAATTCAACATCCATTCATGATAAAAACTCAACAAAATGGTTATAGAG